GGCCACTTCCAGTTCCTGAGTCTTCTCGCGCAGCGCCTCATTTTCCCACTCCAACTGGGAATCCTTCTTTCGCACCGCCTCCAGCTCGTTGTACAGCCGGAGGGACACACTCTTAGCAACCTGTAAACAAAGCCAACAGCAGGTAAATCATGGACAGATTATGAAAAAATGAGCCACCTGGGAAAAGACATGCAAAAGCCCCCCCCCCCAACATAAGTGTAAGACCTAAAGATTGAAAGAGACGCATAACCTCTCTTGTGGTTATTTTGCGTGTCTCTTTGTGGTAAATTTATGTGGTTGACCACAAAGAGACTGTACTTCACGGCAAGAAAGTCTCGGTTTCAATCCTGTCTGTTCTGAGTTTGTATGTTTCGCCTCACCCACCACCAAAACATGTATCTACCCCCGGGCACTGTGATTGGGTTATGAAGGGCATCCTGCGTAAAACCTTTGCCAAATTCAATAAGTGGATTATAAAATCAGATTTCCATACAGACCAACTAGTTCCCCTAATGAGATGCAGTGGTTGTTTACATCTCTTTGTAGTCATTTTGCTGATCTTTGTGTTTGTCTTGCGTCTGTTTGTTGCCATTTTGCATGTCTTAGTTGTCGTTTTCCGTCTCTTTGTGGTTGTTTTACTTCTCTTGATCGTCATTTTGAGTTCATTTAAATTTAGTTTCTCTTTATGGTCGTTTTGCATCTATGTGTGGTAGTATTTTGTCTTGTTTTGCATCTCATTTTACATCTTGTTGTAGTCGTTTGATCAACTTTTCAACAAGAAATGTCACTTCAAAAAAAGGCTCTGGAGCTCTGGCTCCAATCAGGCAAAACTGTTGTAGAAAAAATCTTTTGGCCCAGATCTCACCTCCTTCCCAGAGTTGTAAAAGAGACTTTACAAGGAAATGCTTATGACAGCAATTTACCATATGAGTGTATGAGGGGGTGAGAGGGTGAGGCTGAATCCTACACCACCACACGCAGCCCGGCTCAGAGAAACGGAGTCTGGCTGCCACCACAAAGTCAACAGAGCGATTGACCTGCCATGATTCTGCTAAAGATTACTGTGCATTTATGTTTCCTATGTAGAACAACTCACCACATAATTACACCATGGTACAACAAAAATAGAAAACAGGATGCATGATGAATACATTTCCAACTAATGAAATTTTTGTGGTCCTGACGAACAGCAGGAAGCATTTTACAGCACGGTGAACAGTCGTGAGTCAGGCTGCTGTCAAACGGTTACAGTCCTTCCGTGCGTATGAGTAAAACAATCACGGAATAGCAGTGATTCAGTCAAAAGCCAATTTGGCAGCAATGTACTGTTCCTTTAACAAGGCCGGAAGATGTCATGATGACTAACTGTAATGACCTCTGACCTTGATATCGTGCTCCAAACTCCGGACCAGCTCCCCGTCCACCTGCCCCGTCTGAGCCACTCGGATGCTGCGGCGCTCGGCCTTGCGGAGGCGGTACTGCAGGATGCGACAGGTCTTGTTGGCCTGCTCCAGCTGCAGCCGCAGCTCCTGCAGCTGGTACACCTCCTCCTCCTGGAATATGTCGCGCATTTCCAGCATCTCACAGCGAAGCTCCTCAACCTCATCCTGGGACAAACAACACAGAAATACAACAACTTTAGATTTTTTTTTCCCCCACACATTATAGGAATGTTAAAGTTAGAACCATTCTGGGTCAGATTTGTGGTCCTGGTGGATGGTTTGGTTCAGTAAAAACAACTTGTACTCTCAAGGGACAAACGTCAAATAGCAAATACATCAAAATGCATTTCCAATTATGGTGGTTGTGATTACAGTTTCCAATTATTTTAAGACACTGGAAGACAGCAAAAGCTCCAGACTTTAAAGAATGAATTTTCTTTGCATACTATGTTATTGTTGACTGTCTCTTTGTATTTCCTTATTGATTTATTCATATGTCACACCATTTCGTAATGTTGTATACTCTAATGGTGTAAAGATCTCTGCTGCTTCGATTTTAAACCTTTAAATACCCAAAAACTAGAATAAACCTTCCAAGTGGACCTTCTCGTTGGTTTATTTCCCACTTTTTAAACTCCTTATTCACTCCTCTCACTCCAAATACAAGATAATGCTCAAGTGTAGTGACTACAAAGTCTTACACATTAAAACAGCACTCTCCACAACTCACATTACATACACTGGATTATCTAAATAAATGGCAACAAACAGATGAGTCCCTGCATTTAATTGTACCAATAAAAAAGGCTGTTAGTTTGTGTTTGAAAGTCTTGTTTTTCAAACGTTTTCACGTGTTTATTTGTTTTCCATTAGGCAGTTTTATTTCAATATATTATGGAAACGCTACTGATGGTGCCACAGATCATTTATGTCACTCGTGACTTTGATTCTTGCACGAGACCTTCCCCTCACTTGTCCTTTACTCTCTAATGAACACTGACAAGAAAATCTGCTCTGGTGTTCAGAGTCTAAGGCCCTCTTATAGATCTCACAAAGAAGCGACACACAAACCAACCCACACACCTGTGGACATATAAGCGACACGAATATAATGCAAATAGAATTAAAATCTAAAAATAAATAAAACAAACTGGATTAAACTTACTTTCAAATACTCGTTCTCTGATCTCAAATCTTCCACTTCCCGGACAACATCTTCGGTTGTCTCTCCCATCATTAGATCCATAAACGGCCCCGTAGAGTTAAACAAACCAAGACCCGCTCCAGCAGGCACCTTTACGCACAGTCTCCCGTCGCCTTTCCCCTCGCTGTCCGGGAACAAATAAGCTCCACCGTCTATCCAGCTTAAATCATTGTCGCTGCTCGGAGAGTCGCGCTTATTGTTGCCTTCCGAGGGGCAGTCGGATATTTCCGAGCTGCTGTCTGAGGAGGAAAGTTTCCCGGACGGGCAGCCGGAGTCTTTGCTCAGGTCCTCGGAAGCGTTGCTGGCATCCGACAGTTTCCTCTGCGCGCCGGGACACTCCACTGTGGCACCTGATGACACTTTCACCGGTCGTTTTCCCTGCAGTCCCGCCGATTTCACCTCCCTCTCAGAGAGTGCTTCACATGACTGAGAGCCACTTAGGGCATCTTTTGAAGCCGGATCTTTCTTCTTTTTCTGGACAGGAACCTGCTGCTGCGCCTTGGGTTGTTTCTGGCTCCGGAGCGAAGTCTTTGCGCTTTTGTCCCCGTCTCTGTTCATCGCGACTCTCTTTCTCTTCTTCTTCTTTCTCAGGTGGAAAAAAATAGCAGCTTTTTTAGTTGAAGATGATCATGATGTTTCCACAAATATGTTGAAAGGGCTTAAAGTTTGCAGCTCAAAGCTTACTGAAGACATCCGTCTGGTTGCTCTCCATCCTGGAGACTAAAACTTTGCCAAAATGAGCGCAGAAAAGAGGACAGAAAGTACCTAGCAGTGTCTGACTATCGCATCGTGTTAATAACATCCGGTCAAACATTCCAAAATAAAATGAATCCATTGACCCTTGATGAAAATGTTTCCAAACACTTTATGTTGAGACAATTGCTTTTTGTAAAATAATTGTAAAACATATCCATTAATAATAAAATATGCGAAAAAGTATCAATTGACCGTAACTGCTGATAAAAAAACGATGTTGAGCATCTCTCATGGAGGCCAACTGATCATTTGCGCTTTTATTTTAGAAATCTATATTTCCGGTCTTGTCGTGACTCTTGGTGACTTGATGCCGTTAAATTGATGTTGCTGCCGACAGTTTCCACTTTCTCCTTTGGATACCTGACAAAAACAGTAAAGCTACTCTCTAATTATTCACTGATCATCAACTATCTATTTATACAATCAGCAGCTTGAATTGTTTACTTATTAGCTTTAATATTTACTTATTTAAACAGTCAAAACGTTTATAGGCCTAAGGTAGATATTTACCAAAAACCTTTTTTAGGCTTATAATAAACCTTTATTAATTAAAATACATAGACTGGGAATATCCAAAGCCTACTGCTGCGCCCAATTTTTATTTTTTATAAATTAATACATTTAAATAAATTCCTAAATCTCTAAATTATTTTTATTTTCTGATCACAGTAGAAATCTGCCACCTTGTGGATAACTTGAGCTGCGTTCAGCAGGCAGCATCCTGTGTTTTTGTAGCACAGAGTCCCAGCTAACTCCATCTATTTGCAATGTCCAGAAAGATCAAACACACATACAAGTTTAATTAATTTAAGCAACAATCATCAACAGAGGTTTATTCAAAGAGTTTTAATTGAGTCGCATCTTTCTTTACTGTTGTCTCAAGACCTTGTCCACTCATTGGACACGAGAGAAGGTGTGTCGAGATACACAAGATTGCTCACAAGTTGGGGCAATATAAAATAAAGTAGGTAGAAAGTATACAATCAATAAACACCAGCACATTAAAAAGTAATTAGTGATCATTTATATAGCTTTTTTAATATAGTGTACCTTACTAGAAAGTCACTGAAAAATATTCAATGAGTGTATATTTCAGACAGCTGACATGATCATTTTACCCTAAATTATCGTTAATTTTCCCATTTATGATGATGAAATTAAGGCATTTGTAGTGAGATTTTACGAATATATGGGTTTTAATTTATTTAGAACCTTGAATCTGCACGTACATTTTGCCCATATAACCCCTAACGTCTATAACCATAAGTATATATAATTATGTCAGTGACATCCTTTAAATCCATTATCAAATGACAGGTCTTATCTATTTTATTATTATTTTTGTATTTATCTTATATTGCTGTTGGGTATTTCATTACATTTTATTGTTTCATTGCAGTCCTGAAATGTCTGGATCTTGGTTCAACCATGTAAAGCACTTTAAAACATTTTGTTTTGAAAAGTCACTATAAATAAAGTTAATAATTGTTATTTTAATCATTAATTTGAGGAGTCGCGTCCATTCAGCCTTGAAGTCCTTTGACTTCTATTTCTAGACCGCACTTTGCTGCGCTGTGATTGGCTGACGCATCCGTCAGTCACGGTGTCCTTGCCGCCCACTTCCGCCCCGTTTGATAAGCAGTTACACTCTTCGTTTGTTGATGTCACTTTGAACACCGACATTGACCTGAATTCACAGGTATATATACATCATTGAATCGTGTATAAATCGTCGTGTCAGTGTCTGCGTTGATAACGTAAGATAATCTCCGCTGCCCACCTTCCAGCTAAGGGCAAAGTTTAGCAGCAGCGATGCTAACGGCTAGTTAGCTTGTCAGAGCTAGCTAACTAATAACTAGCTTTAGGGGAGCAGAGCTGCTGACAGCGAGCTAGAAAGATGTTGTTTTTTAGTCATCGCATGTAGCTTACTAGATACGTTTTAGCTGCCCTGCTTGGTGTAACTAGTCCGTGCTGTTGCAGGTAGTGTGTCTTGGCTGTCTGATGCTTGGAGACGACAGGCCAACGGTGGAAACATGACTGTTGAGTAACAGTTACTTTCTCCGCTCAGTATGAACAGTGAGGAAGAGTTTTACGACGCTGAGACAGGTGAGAACATGCTGACAAGAGTTCTCATTTAGTTAAATATACTTTGCTTCTTGTGCTAAATTGTCTTTCCCTTCTTCCCTCCGTGTTGTCCCCATCAGGGCTGGAGTCAGATGATTCCTGTGAGGTCAGTTTTAAAGATGCCCTGGTGTTTGACAGTAAGCGGGCCAAACCGGAGAATGGAGTGTGGGAGCGCAGGTGAGGAATCATGCAGAAGTGTGGCATGTCTGTCTGTCTGCATGTTACCACATGACCACATTCGTCTTTGGGTTAAGATCTAAAGGGGTTCATTATGCATGCTCTCACATGTAGGAGCCGTGAAAGATATCTGTATATTAATGCAGTACATTGTGTAATCAATATATCTGCCAGCTATTAACAGATACACGGTCTAAAGTTGTGTCTGATATCACATTTTTTAAAATCGTATATGGTCCTAATGTGTACCAGGAAAACCCTGCCTGCTGAAATGATCTCCAGAAACGACTTCAGTGTGTGGAGTATACTGAAGAAATGCATTGGCATGGTGAGTCCTATCTGCTTCCAATTTAATTTGCCATATACAAGCTGTTGTCAGATTCTGGGTCTAGTGACATGTTGTTTATAATTGAATAATTGCATGCTTCAGCTTTCATTGCGCCGCTACAAGACTAATCATGTCTGAACTCTGCTCAGCTGACTATAATTGGCTTGGAAGTTGCATTTTTTTTATTCTTTTTGCAGCCATCTCAAAGAACCAAAATAGTTTAAATAAACATCAGAAAACAAGGGATATGAAACATGTCCTACAGGCAGAGCGTATTTGTTGCACGAAAGTTAAACATTATGATGCATGAGTTGTTTAAGTAAGCTATTTTGTACAACTTTGAATCCGATCTGGTAGTTCACCTGCTTATTTATATGGTCTGTTCTTTGATCTCTTATAGGAGCTGTCCAAAATAGCGATGCCGGTTGTGTTTAACGAGCCGCTGAGCTTCCTTCAGAGAATCTCGGAGTACATGGAGCACGCTCACCTCATCCACAAAGTCTGCAGTTTGTCTGACTCAATAGACCGAATGCAGGTACAGATAAATGATGACTCTGAGCTTGTGATTTTATTTCTTTTTAAATGTAATTCTTTCTCTGTCTGCATTCTTCTAAACATATCTGGACAGAAGCATGTAACAGATCTCACTCTGATTTAAACCTGCAGCTAACAATCATTTTCTTTATTTAGTAGTTGATCCTTTAAAATGTCAGAACATCAAAAGAAATTCCATTAAGTTTTCATAAACTAATGTGAATCTTCAAATAGCTTGTTCTGTCCGACCACTAGTCCAAAACTCAAATATATTAAGTTTTTCAATCACATAAAACAAAGGAAATCTGATAATCATCACATGACCGAGAAGCTGAAATGAGGAAATGTTTGTTGTTTTGCTTAAAAAATGACTTAACGGGTTAATTTATCAGTCAATGAACGGATTATTCTTTGCCGCTCTTCTCTGATCCGCTTCGTGTCTCTGTAACAGGTTGTTGCTGCGTTTGCTGTTTCGGCTGTAGCATCTCAATGGGAAAGGACTGGAAAGCCATTTAACCCTCTACTGGGGGAGACGTATGAACTCACAAGGTATTAGAGAAGACAATATTGTCTTGATGATAGACAAACACCAAAATGTTTCTTATTAATTTGTGCAAGTTTTAAATCTCTTTTTTTTAAAGAGAGGACGAGGGATACAGATTGATCTCTGAGCAGGTGAGCCACCACCCCCCAGTCAGTGCCTTCCATGCCCAGTCTCTGAAACAAGAGTTTGAGTTTCACGGCTCCATTTACCCGAAACTCAAGTTCTGGGGCAAAAGTGTGGAGGCTGAGCCCAAAGGCACCATGACGCTGGAGCTACTGAAGTGAGTATTTGTGGCTTTTTATTTGTTATGAATAGCTTTATTGTTGTGCTTTTTAAGCTGCATCCGATTGTTTTGATTATTTTTTAGCACTCAATGTCGTATTTACATACAAAGTGTGGATAAACTTTGTCTAAAGCATTAGTTCAACATTGTAGGAAACACGTTTATTTGCTTTCTTGCTGAGCGTTACATGAGAAGGTTGATACTACTCTCATATCTGTCCGCTACATGAAGCTACAGCCAGTGGCTGGTTAGCTTAGCTTAGCATAAAGACTGGAAATGGATGCCCTGACCAAAGGTAACAAATTGTCTTTTTAACAGACAGACACGCGAGCGGTGTCATTCTTTTCATCTAATTCTCGGCAAGAAAAAGGAAATATGTGTTTCTCCCAAAATATCAAACCATTCCTTTCTGATTCTGGGGATTTCTCACAGACATAAAGAAACGTACACATGGACCAACCCAATGTGTTGTGTGCATAACATCATACTGGGAAAACTCTGGATTGAGCAATATGGAACGGTGGAGATAGTCAACCACAGGTATAGTGACAATTCTGTCATTCTTAACTGCAAGATCCAAACTGATTGTATCATTCATTTTCATATGTACTTTTAATTCATCAGCACTGGAGATAAGTGTGTGTTGAACTTCAAACCGTGTGGAATGTTTGGGAAAGAGCTGCACAAAGTTGAGGGTCATATCCAAGACAAAAGGTAAGAGCAAGATCACAACAACACTGTTATTAACCATCGGTTGTGATTCATTTTCTCTGAACTGAATTCGATTTTCTTTGCTGTTGAACCAGTAAGAAGAAGCACAGAGTGATCTACGGGAAGTGGACGGAGTGCATGTACAGCGTGGACCCCAAGGTTTACGAAGCGCACAAGAAGTCAGACAAGAAGACGGGGGAAGACTCCAAAAAGCTGAAACGGGTGAGTGATTCTGTTGTGACTGATATCTGATCTTCCACTGAGATGAAACGCTGCTTGAGTTTGTTCTCACTTTCGTCATTGATGTGTTTTATCTGTCTTGCAACGTGACGTAATCTGTGACTCATTGCTCTGAATTCTTTTCTCAAATGGTATCTTTTCCTTTCACAATAACATGCAGTGGCTTTAGTAGAAGGTAAGGTAAAAGCGTATTTGATATCTGTAATGTGCTACTGCTGTTGTCTAGTTCCAGTTATGTTCAAAGTGTAGTGAATGATGAGATCATTGCCAGCACTAATCCATACTGTCTTGCAATGACATGCATTGTTGCTTGAGAGACATGTTGAATTTGTGGCGACTGTAGTTCTGTGAATCAGCTGTTTGCATATGAACCGTACGTACTGTCAGCTTCCGCTTGTTAGTCCACCTCTGATAATCTTATTCATCTGTGTGTGTGTGTGTGTGTAGGAACATAGTTCTCAATCTGAGGAGGCAGATGAGATGCTAGAAGTTCAAGAGACTGTGACTGTGATACCAGGAAGTGCCTTACTGTGGAGGATAGCGCCGCGGCCTGCTAATTCAGCACAGGTCAATATCACACTCGCACTGAAGACACAAAGAAGATGTGCTCAACCGTTACAGCATCCGGTAACGTTTGCTTGTAAACAAACTTCACCAAAACCTGTAGTGTTTATCTTTGAGGCCTGGCAAACATGTTGAGTGCAGTTGCTTTCTCATAAAACATTTGTCATGAATTTGTAATATTTAATATATAAATCCTGCTTGTTGACACCCCTGTTTGCTAGCATGCGGTCTACTGCTTGACTACCTTTGATTGCACATGTCTACGTTTCTTAACGCATCACCATTATCGACTGAAAGCAGTTCTATAGGCTGATTATTCCAATTTATAATAAAACAGATTTCAACTTTCTTGTGGTATCTAGTCAGGCAGGTATTTTGGTATATTTTAAGTTCTAAGTTTCTGAGATATCTGCCTCCAGCCCATTTTATTAGAGGTAAATAAAATTCAGCTTTGACACACCGCAGTGGCAAGAGTCTTCACTGAAGGAACTTTTCCTCCAGAAAAAATAGTAATAGCCACACAGATTCTGAGCCTGCAGTATTACTTAATGAACAAAGATCTTTATTCTCTGTGTTTCCTTGTGTAGATGTATAACTTCACCAGCTTTGCCATGACACTAAACGAACTGGAGCCCGGCATGGAGAGACTACTGGCACCGACCGACTGCCGGCTTAGGCCCGACGTCAGAGCCATGGAGAATGGAGACATAGGTAACACAAACCTCACATAAACACGCTGAGAGAAGCGGACTCCATTCCTTCCACACACACAACCCTCGTGTGATTCTGCAGTTGCTTTTTCATTCATATCTTTGTGTTTTTATAGACTCGTCAAGTACAGAGAAAGAGCGGTTAGAGGAGAAACAAAGGGCCTCACGCAGGGAACGCTCCATGGATGAGGAGGAGTGGTCAACCAGGTGTGTGTGCTGGTCACAAATGTCCAGGTGTATATTCAAGAACTTTAAAACACAGCCCATCTCAGACGTGCACCTCGTTACATAAATGTGATTTAATTTAAGCATAACGGAATAACACCTGAGTCGTTACATTATTGTCACAAATGTAACATTTCCATCTCTAGTCTGAATAATATGAGTGTAAAATCCATAATTAGAAAGACTGCACTTCTCACATCATCACAGTCTGACTATAATAACAATGGTCTACTTGGCGGCTGTTTCTCACACCTCTCCAGCAGAAGAAGCTCCTCGGATCATAGTTTCAATCGGGGACTGTACGTCCCTCCTGCTATGTAATATTTCCTTTAACCCTGTCAGTTTAATAATAGGTCCTGCATGTTTTATGTTTCTCCAGGTGGTTTCAGCTGGGAACAAACCCTCATACTGAAGCTGAGGATTGGCTGTACACAGGTGGATATTTTGACAGGAATTACACGGATTGTCCCAACGTTTATTGACCCAGGAGGAGGTGTTCGGTTTGAAGATTTCCTCCTCTCTGATAGGATTCACTTTATTTCTCTACATCAATCGTTTGTGATGTCCAGACGCTCACAGGTACTGTGTCTTTGTTTGAATCCATGAAAAGCTGATATCAAAATGTTATCGGTTTGTCCACAGGAGAAATGTTATATTAAGAATTTTAGGGTTTTTAGAGTTTACTTACTGTAAATGTTGACATCTTTATACGCCCTAATCATGACAATAATAGTCTACCTGTCTGTCACTGACCTGTGTGGGTTTTTAAACCAGTCGTGTGTGTGTGTGTGTGTGTGTGTGTGTGTGTGTTTGTGTGTGTGTGGTTGTGTGTGTGTGGTTGTGTGTGTGTGGTTGTGTGTGTGTGGTTGTGTGTTGATGTTGCTGCTGCCGGACACAAAACTTCTAGAGGTTATATTCTCAGTTTTAGTTCAGGTACTCGACCGTAATCTTACCTGTAGACGTACCACACACTTCTTGTCCCGTTGCATTCAAATATCAGGGGTTATTTAAACACATCTGCTACTTTTTTTTTATCAATATATAACCTATTTGAATACTCCATGTACATTTTAGTTCCCTGTAAGCATCCATAAAGTGTCATACATTTTCTGTGAATAGAGACTTGCAGTAGAGATGAAAGCTGCTTATAACCACGTTTACGTCACAGTGAACGTATTGTTGGTACATTATATTGTTGTCCACTGTAACATAGATGATGTGTATAATAACTGGTGCATGCATGTTCGCCAAGATGATTATTGACACAATGTTAAAGCCATAAAAACGTTTTTCTGCACTGAGTATAATGCTGTAAATGGATTCACATAAGACGTTAAAGCAGAAGTCAACAGAGCATTTCGGTTTCCAGCAGAAGGTTTCCAAAGTCTGACACTATAAGAAACACGTTGAACCAACAGTCGAAAAAATATGAATCAAAAGATCACGTTATTGTACTTTTAAACTCTTATTAATATTATTTGTCTTACTTAAGACAAACTAACTAAACAAGAAGTGTAATGTTTCCCTGGACTCAGTTGGGTAGTTACCTGTTTTTTGTTGTTGTGCGTTTTATAAGTTTGTATTTGTTTATTTTGGCAGGTTGGCGCCATTAAAAGTTTGCCGAATTAGCTGTTAGCAGTTCCTGTTTGAAATGTGCCCATAAAATGTACAGACAACTATCGCTGGATGACTGTGATTCTGAAGAAAAGTAAAACACGTGATGATTCTCAGGCCAGTCCTGGAGTTATAAAGATAATCCTCGATTTTGATTATTTCTAAGGGGACTTTTGGACGTTTATTTATTTGCGAGATAATGACTGCAAGTCACGCCGAATCTAAAAACGAGTTATGACTCTGAGAAGGAATTTTGAGTCAAATTGCGGCTCACGTCTTTCCCTCCGCGGCCCGCTGTCGAGGCACAGCTCAAGAACCGTTTGTATAAAGAGAACGGACTGATTATAGCGGTTTGTCTTCACACATGGACAAGTACCTGACTGTTTGTAGAGTTCACATTTTGATGCCCTGAAACATATTTTACCATCAGTGAAAGCTGTGCTTTTGGACTAAGCAGCAGTAAAAACAAAACACAATGTATTTTTTAAACGGGACACTGTAGCCATCATAAACCTATGCAAAAAGATCCGTCCACTCTGCCCTCCTGAAATGTGAAAACTGCTCTTTAGCTTGTAGCCAGTGTGTGCTTCAGCTGCTTCAGAGGCAGCGGTTAATGAATGTTGTGTGCTGATGATATAACGTTTACTTACGTAGAGCAGTTGTTAGACGGTATATATAGATGTTTGTTTGTGTTTTAAGGCACTAACATTGCATAAACTGCACATTTGTATGCTCATAGTCCAGTGCACATATTGTACAGTGAAAATATATTCTACATCCTGTCGTCCCCCAGCTCCTCTCCACTTTACTCTGGATTCAAAGCACTTTGTGATGCCGGCGCACACTCAAAGGTTCACTTCTATGGTTCCTCTGATCTCTCACTCTTTTTACTGCCTTGTGTCATCTAGCGTCCATTTGAAAATGTTTACATTGTATGTTCATTCCCCCCCATACTGTTATCTACATACAACCATATGCAAACATGACATATTTGAGAAATAAATGATGGACTGTTGAAATTACCGGCCCTGCCGTTGTTTGAACGCTCACTTTAACAGCATGGTATGATGACACCAGTGTGTGTTATTTATACCAGTTGTTCACAAATGAAAGTGATTTAAAGGATGGGGATTTCTACTGATTTGGCGAATATTCCTTCAGGAGAAGAAGTGGGAGTTGAACTGAAATGTACAAATTTTGGGGATCCGTCGTCAGGTTTAAATTCAATCAAAAATCTCAGCTGTACATTGTGTTTAGTGCTAATTTCCAAATGTTAGCATGTTAACACACTGAAGTAAGATGGTGAACATTACGTGCTGCTACAAATGGTAACCCTTGATTTGATTATGTTAGCATCTTAGTCTTGTTCCTTTCTATTTTGTAATAATGATAGTATTAATGCTGGTAATCCTGAGATTTAACTAAGTATGTACTCATAAGTAAAAGTAGCAATACCACGGTGTAGAACTACTACACTTAGACACAAAGTATACTTTTGCTTAGAAGTCCTACATAAAAGCATTCAAAATATGTGCTCCAGTATAAATAAAGTATCTGCATCAAAATATATTAACAGTATCAAAAGTACTCATTATGCAAATTACCCATTTATAGTATTGATTATGAATATTGATTAATGTCCATATTACTTTAATGTTTCAGCTGGTAAAGGTGGAGATCATTTTAATTACTTAATATACTACTGTGTAGCTTAATCTAATAATGCATCATTTATTCGTTGATGCCCTCTAATAAAAAATATACTTCAGATAAAAGTATCTGGAGTTAAACAAAGGTACAATTGGTCCGTCCCTCTTGTAGAATTGTTGGGGAGAAGAAGTATAAAATAGCAAAAAATGTAAAGTACCCCAAAACTATTCTTTAGTGCAGTACTTGATTAAATGTACGTAGTTATTTTCCACCACTGGTCAATATCATCGACAGCCCTTCAAGCCCAATCAAAGGGATTATTCACAACATAGAAATATCTCAAAAGTTATTCTTAATAGTTTAAAACTGATTCATAACATATTTCATTTATTAACCATTAATGAAGCTATTAGATACTTAAATACCCAAGAAAGGATGTCTAATTAGAAAGTATCTTTGTATCTGATCCGTGTCAGTATAAAAAGGTTCAACACTAGAAACGTGCCGTGTTGTGTCATCTCTACCTATCATGCGCACGGAGATCTAAAGGCAACGTGATTGACGCACGGTTCGACCAATCACAGTGAAGCACGGGCGCTAGCCAGCCAATAACGGTCATCTTCAGTGTGTTTGCCTGCTCTCCGGCTGAACAACATTTCAGTGAGTAAATGTAAGTATAAACAGCTTATTTACTCGTATATATATTTTTGAATTGGCTACGTATGAACCGGATGTGTGTTTAGTTCCCGTGTGCCAGTCGTACGACTTGCAGCTCCGTCGCGAGCTCATCAAGCTGGAAACAGGCGGCTTGCTAACGTTACAAGATGCAGAGTCATCTGCTGAGGCTGCTCCAGGAGCAGTTAGCTGGTTTATTATGGGAGCACTGGGATGAGCTTTGTCCGACACCTATGTTTCCCATTAAATCATCTTTGTTATAATCTTTGTTTAATTCATGTCAGTCTAGGAGAGCCGTAATATTCCCTGAGAGGAAATAATAAAATAATAGCTTTACATTAAATAGGTTAGAAAATGTTAAGAATAAATCTGCAATCAGGAACTACCATTTAAATTATATGAATCTGCTGGATAAAACGTGCATTAGTAGAGTGATATACAGCAGGTTAATATCTGGGACTACACAGCTCTTTGATTATTAAACAGATGAGCATAGTTCATGTTTCTCTTTATATTTATGTATTTTGACTTTACAGTTTTTAATTTTCTCTAAAAGCCTAAATAATCTAATCCTAATAATCATACTCGTATGTGCGTATGGCCTTTCTCCTCTCTGTCCTCCCTGCAGCAGTCTGTCCTCTTCATCATGGCGTCCGGAGCGTTGTTCCCCAGCATGGTGTCTGGGTCCCGCGGCTCCTCCAGCAAGTACCTGGTGGAGTTTCGTGCCGGTAAGATGACCATGAAAGGCAGCACGGTGACCCCCGACAAGCGCAAAGGTCAGGTCTACATCCAGCAGACCGACGACTCCCTAATCCACTTCTGCTGGAAGGATCGGACGACCGGGAACGTGGACGATGTAGGTGACGCTGTCTGCGTGAAAGAAAGGCTCCACCTTAAGTTTTTACGTTTTTATCATGAAACCCTCTTCTGATTTAGGACCTGATCATCTTCCCTGATGACTGCGAGTTCAAACGGGTGAGCCAGTGCACCACCGGACGGGTCTATGTGCTGAAGTTCAAAGCTGGCTCCAAAAGACTCTTCTTCTGGATTCAGGTATGAAGCACGACGGCCTGCTACACACACACACACACACACACCTCTGTATTTATGAATCTTGGGGTTTTTTACTTGTTAAAACGACACAATTATGACAATCAGTTTCTTCTCCAGAAACTCTTCATTAGTGAGTCAGTTAGTCTGACCAGTTTTGTTTTTCTAATCTCAGGAGCCAAAGACTGACAAGGACGAGGAGCACTGCCGTAAAGTGAACGAGTATCTCAACAACCCTCCGATGCCCGGGGCTCTCGGCAGCGGCGGCAGCGGAGGACACGATCTGTCCGCTCTGGGAGGTAACGGATGCTCACGTTATAGTTCTCCCGTAATGTGCAAGAAGCTGAAATATTGCCGTGAATTGAATCACCGATGCTGGATGTCAACTGTTGTTTTTCTCGTGTAAAGGGGAGGGCGGTCTGCAAAGCCTTCTGGGTAACATGAGCCACAACCAGCTCATGCAGCTCATCGGACCAACTGGCCTGGGGGGTATCGGTACGTACCTACGAGCTGATTAGACAAAAGATGAGGCATCTCGGTAAATGCAGTTTCATGCTCTCAGGACAATAACGTGTCCGTTTCTCTCTGACCAACAGGGGGCCTCGGGGCACTGGCTGGTCCAGGATTGGCCAACCTCCTGGGCAGCAGCAGCAGCAGCAGCAGCAGCAGCAGCAGCCTTCCCGCAGCCAGTAACTCCTCCACAAGGTATCTCATTCTGTTCATAGAATAAAGGAACTTAAACGGCTGATTTTCTGTCAAGTTTTGAACTGATTTTTTTGTTGCAGCTCTGTATAGTTGAGGGGCATAAACCAGAATATGTTTTGGTATTATTGCTTAAAAGAAGTGACTTAATAGTTTCTCATTTACTTTGTGTTGATCATCTAATGTATGAATTATACATTATAATGGATGAATAAATCGGAATGCAAAGTAGTCGCAAGAGGCAGCTGGAGTAACTTGTCATCTGGTTATATTGGTGTTCTCCTCACCTTCATGTACTAAACACATCAAGTTCACGCTGAACTCTCAGAGGTTGTCCAAATGCAAATGAAGGAAATAACTAAAGCATAGATGGATACAACTAGAGAAAAACATCATCAAATGATAATAATGAAATATGTAATGATGATAAAGATATCGCAGGTTGATATGTGTTAGTGCCTCATGTGGACTCGTGATCTCTTTCTCTCTCCTCTCAGTCCGTCCACAGCCGTCACCCCCACCTCCACCTCTGCTACCAGTCGGCTCGGCTCCACCCAGGTGCCAACCACCCCCATCACTCCCTCTGCCACCTCAGCGGCCTCCCCCACAGCCACCACCCCATCCACCCCCGCTGTGTCCTCGGTGGCGGCGGGGGCAGCGAGCCCCGCACAGCCCATCCAGCTGAGAGACCTGCAGAGCATCCTGGCCACCATGAATGTGCCCGCCAGCGGACAGGGAGGTGAGGAACCGACCGAGTGAGAACTACACTCCTCAGAACTGAAAGTAAACAAAAATAACCACCAGAGGAAACGCACATAATTAGGCCTAAGTTCCTTATTCTCGCAAATAATTACCAGCAAAGAAATAGCATTGTGAATGCAACAGTCTCTGTAATACTGTGATACCTGCTCAGCACCAAACAGCAGACTGACATCGTTCAAGACTAGTTTATCAAGATTATCACATGCAGAAATAAGCATTCTAATAAAACTGAGTCATTTGTAGCTCAGAAAATGTGGATATTTTTAGACTAACCGATCGGTGGGGATGTTTGTTACTTGCAGTGGACCTTGCCAGCGTCCTGACACCTGAGATCATGGCTCCCATCCTTGTGAACCCCGAGGTGCAGGAGAGGTTGATGCCTTATCTGCCCTCCGGAGAGTCCCTGCCTCAGAGCACGGAGGAGCTCCACAACACGCTCAGCTCGCCTCAGTTTCAGCAGGTAACGTGTTCGCTGCTGGACGCGCTCGGTGGTTTTCAGTCAGTTTGGCACGTCTGAAGCTATAGTATATTCTCTTTTTAGCAGGATTCTCGTCACAAAGAGGCTCTCTCTCTCTCTCTCGTTGGTATTTAGTATGTTGTTGTGGTATTTGTCCTTATCCTGGTATTTATTGTCTCTCTCTGCAGGCTATGAGCATGTTCAGCAGCGCCCTGGCATCCGGGCAGTTGGGGCCTCTGATGAACCAGTTTGGTTTGCCTGCAGAGGCTGTGGATGCCGCCAACAAAGGAGGTCAGTGTTTCGCCCACATCAAGAAGAGACAACTGTAACTGTTTGTTTCACTGCTAGGAAACACATTTTCATGTCCACAAAGGAGATTGTAATGTAGACAGTCACATTTTTATCTTTTTAATAGTGGTGGAATGTAACCAAGTACATTTACTCAAGTTATTTGAGCATACTACACTATGACTTTTTTCGACATACGATTTTTTTTTTTTTTTTTTTTCTGACTTTTTCGACAAAAACAAATCTTTCACTCATTTGGATAAACTTTTCTATCGTTGTAGATGTCGAGGCTTTTGCCAAAGCCATGGAGACAGAGACAAAGTCAGACCAGGACGGGGATTCCAAAGAGAAGAAAGACGACGATGAAGACATGAGTCTGGACTAAGAATTGTTTGTTTTTTAAGGTATTTATTTAGCTGCTTCACTTGTTTTGTAACTGTTAAACATTAAGGATAAAGATTGTGCCTCGTATAAAATGTCACTAAGACTCCCCTCCCTTGCTGATGATGCCGTGTTCAGCCTCCAACAGTGTGCTGCATTATTAAAACTGATTAAGCTGATTGAACATGTAACCCACCTGCATGTCAGCTGCTAGTCTGGGAACAATAAAGACGATGAGAAACATCCTCGACTGTCTTGTGAACGATCACTTAACTTACCTCAAGAAGATAAACTGCTTCATACGAGTGATTGTTGCCTCAGAAATAAAACAAACTCATGAGTTTTCAGTTTCTGAAAATATATTTGAAAAACATTCATTTAACAGTATGAAAACATGAATAAATACCCATTTTGACACCAACCATACAACAGTTTCTGCAGTTCCATAGATCTATTTGGACGTTTATCATCATACATTTTTCACCACAATGAAAAGTTCAATTATCTTTCATAGAGCAGAACAACCACAACACTTAAAGATCTCTACAGCAGCAGCAACACTCCGACATGTCAACATTAAATAGCACTCATAAGATAAGTTAACACTTTCACTGCCGCTGTAGTTTCAGGCACTTTTTCTTTCCATACATGGACGCCTAAATCTGAAGAACTACTACACATTAAGTGGCAACTGCAGTCATGTTAACACAGTGCGGTACTTTGAGTTACAATACAATCAGTTACCTTCCATTTAGCACAGGTGATTTCAGCAACGGTAACGCATGTAAAACATCTCTTTGGATTAGATTTGAGCCATTCAAAGACATGAGAAAGTAAAACTCCTGAGAACGGAAACATACGTCAACTAGCCAGACGGGAATAAATTCCAGTGCAGTGTTTGTTTATAAAAACATATCCCTGGTTAACGACATTAAAATTAAATCATATAATATAAATGTCTCCACATTCCTGTTTTCTTACAGTATATCGGCACAGTCTGAACACAGCTGGCCACAAGATTCTGAACTAATATTATTCACAAGGTAAATATATGAATGTGGCTGGATTATTGTTGGACATACAAGTATTGAATAAACATAAATTAAAGGCTGCTTCCTTCTCTCATTTTTCCACCAACAATCGACAGCGTCAGTCTCACGGCTGAAATTACATCAAAGTCACAGTGAGTTTAAAAAGGCATTTACTAAATCAACAGTATGGTTCCTTGTCGTTCATAATAATAGACGGTGTATAGTCACGAGAAAGGTGCAGGAGATGATTCTTCCACAAACATCACAGCGTACGTTTAATTTAAATAGTTTAAGAATACTAGGACGTACCAAAACAAACAGGTCACAGGAAAACAAAATAATAGCACAATTAACGTGCTCATCAAACATCTCTAACATAGAGTTCATGACTGCAACGTCACACGTACAAAAAGACATTCAGGGAGACAGACAAGTCCAAAATATGAGTGTAAACTAGTTATTCTTCATAAACAGTGAGCGACTTAAGCCACGACCGACAGAAAATAAATAACATCAGAATTATTATTTCTTTCAAACACCACAGCTTATAAACTGGTCGATCCACCACACAAACGGTCACAATTACCTCACCGCACACACACACACACTCGATGGTGTTACAGTATTAATGAAAGCAGCAGCTTGTCGGTCTAGCCTTGCTGCTGCTGCACCAGCCTGCGGTAGTGAGGCATGACCTTACTCTCAGGCAGGTAAAGTCCCATCTCCAGCGCCACCAGCACCGGGAACTCCAGCGGAATCAACTCCCGCCTGTTGATGCGGAAACGCTCCTCCAGCTTCTGCTCGTCCACAGGGAGGAAACAGAGGAAGAGTTCACAGGAAGACGTGACGTGGTTACTATAATACAATGACTTTTTTTACATGCTTAATTGTTACTTTTTTAGACATACTATACTTTTGGCTATTGGGTGATGGTATAGTATAACGTTATCATGATGCGTTCAAATGTAGTCTTGTAAAATTACGTTTTTGAATGAATAGTTGTTTGAAGGAAGTGTTTTCACAGCAACATAAAATAGATATAAGAGAAGGAATTATGACCTGTTGAACTCTTTTTTTTTTTTTTTTTTATCGGTACTCTGCATCAGCTGATAAGCAAACGTCCCAGTCTGGGGATCAATAAAGACTTATTCTATAGCATTGAGTCAAGTTCTACGCGTGTTACAAGTTGTTCCACTTTGTTTACTCTTCTCTTATCAGCAAATAGAGGGTTACATTATACAGGTTCAAATGTCCTGCTTTATTCTATGGAAACTTTACTCACGTCAATGAGCTGTTTGACATCTTGCTTCCGTAAATCGCTGCTGATCTTTGCAGCCAGCAGCACGCACGCAGCTGCAACCAACTTCCGGTTCTGCTTGTTGAGGCAGCCCTGCAGCACCAGCTTCTCAAAGTAAACAAAAGCCATCGCGATGGTGACCGGCTGTAGGCCGCAGTCGTCGCTCATGGCCCGCATCTCCCTCTTGAGGCTAGTTGAAAGCAAGGGAGGAGTCAATCTAACTGATCAGTCTTCTGAGAAAGAGTGTGCTGTGTTTGAACCAGATTAAAACTGGAAAGGAAACGTGATGAGCTACAAACAACGTTCGATCTTAGGTGACATTTAGAAACTATCTGTACCTTCTTATCTTGCTCAGAGTTAGCTTGATGTGAGGAAACTTCTCTTTGAAAGTCTCATTCATGTTCTTCTTCAGGTCAGATGGTTTCACATACTCAACAATAGTCGTCTGAAGAGATGAAAAAAAAACAACCAGCATGTCAAAACAGAAGTGACTCGTGTCAGCATGAATTACAGCTGCAATAACGTTTGACAGTTTTTCTTTTGTCTTTGTCGGTAAGGACTGCTCCACACACACACACTCATGCTAGAGGTTACAGTGTTGTGATAGGATCTTCTCTGCAGCAATAAAATCATGTGACCAGTACATAGTGGATGTTTTACTCTAACTAAACAGAGCTCTGCTTCACTTTACAAACGTTACCAGATTCATTCAGAAGTTGCCTTTTTTGAGGAAACTGCATTCAGTGCTTTTTAAAACTTTTCAAGAACTGCAGATACAACTGTAGTTTAACTTTTAGTCAAACTGGATGGAATTATTTTAAACATAAAGACAAATTGCTCGATGTAATAGCCTCTCGTCCCTGTCTGCAGTCTTTGTCATGCAGATTACAAACCTTGTTACCCTAACCTACAAGAGGAGAAATCTGACTTTATCCTGAATTTTTAACGTCATGTAAATGCACTGAATGAATAGAACAAACTCACCACGTATGATGCAAATATCAGAACCCTCTTGTGTCTCCCACAAGGCCACTGAGGGTCACTGAGTAGGTTAGGGTCGTACTCCACCACCTCCTCTACAGCTGAAACACACAAAGAGACGTGTGCAGTAACATCTGGTCGTCAGCTAAAACAGTGAAGGAGCGGATGTGTGCCTGTTGGTCCTAATTTGAGACGTACATGGGTCTTGTGCGGCGCCGCTGTTCAGACGAGCCGGGGTGAAGTTCCTCTGCCCGTTGCCACGGAAGCGAGACTGGGGGGTCTGAGCTGTGCAGGTCTCTGGTGCAGCGCCGCTCTTCTGTCTCACCAAGGCATTGGTCGGGTAAAGTAACTGAGCGTAGGACACCGTCTGAGGAGAGAAAATGAAACCGTCAGCAACCTTCAAATCAAGCAGATGTATCAGAGTAATGAGAGTATTCCGGCTCCTCCTCATAGTACTAATATATATATATATATATATATATATATATATATAACACATAGACATATATATATAACACATAGACATTTACCTTGCTACAGTCTCCAAGCTCCACACCCTCCAGGGAAGGAAGCAGGTCAGCAGCCACCACAGAAGACAACCTCTGCCTATGAGCCTCCATCTTAGGGTCACTGTTCAGAAAGAGTCACATGTGTGTCATTCTCACCACACGACGAAGTCACACACTGCCCTGTCCCTGACAATGATGATGGTAAATCACACAGGAGGAGGATGAAAACATAAAAACGATGGGTGGGTGCTCTCTGCGTGGGATGGTGCTTTCATTGTACCTGAGGTGAGCACTCTCTCCATAGGGCAGCACTGAGAAAGCAGCGTATAGCGACCGCTTGGCACAAATCAGCACGATCCTGCAGGACACAGCAAGTTAAGGCAGACAAAACAGATGGTGTGTCAGTCTACAAGCAACAGCTACAGTCACTGCTACCGTCCTCATGTTCATCATCAGCTGAGCTACAGTGACCACGAGATCAGTCACAGAGACACTTCTATGTTGGTCTGAATCACCACCAAAGCTTAACAGCTATCACTACATGAAGCTCAAACTGGAGGAGGGATCGCTGGACAAGCCCCAGGTTGTGACTCTCTTGTATTGTCATTACATCCAAGTCACAGAGATAAGTAAAGCCATTTTAATGATCAATTAAATGTCATTTTAAAGCAAAAATACAGAACAAAACAGCTATTTTTTGGGGGAGGGATAATCGGATGCAGATATCTGTGACTCAAAGGTTGTGTAAACACAAACTAGGGCTACAAGCTGGACCCACTAACATCAACACACACAGTATACGGTCACTAGAACTCTTATGTTCTGATAAAGACGTAGACAAACCACTCACAGTCTACTTACAACCGAACACAACTTCAGATCCTCACAAAACACCAACCAGTGACAGTCAGCTGACTCTGGGTCTCAGAGAGAGATGTTAAATATCTTACGAGGGACAATACAGCGACACAGACACCTACTTGTGTTAATTATCTTAGTTACATAATAGTTTTTCTTCAGCCTAGTAAGTGACATGCACCGCCTCAAACAGAAAGGGACACTTGAGGGGCAATTTTGGGATTGCTTCATCATTGTTTTGCACACATCAGCAGAAAACACATGACACATATTCATGTATGTGGGCATGAAATGTAGGTTAAGTGGAAGAGAAATGTAAAAAACAATGAGTCAAAAACACATGGAAAAAAATATGACATGTTTTCAGTGAGTAAGAAAATATTCCAGAAAATAAATGTTAAAAAATACCACACTCTTCTTCATGCTTTTGGAGTTACCGTACTGCAATATTATAAGGTGTTACAATTCTACACTGCACTTCTTTTCCCCCATGCAGCAGCAGCTGCACCGCTGTTATTCCTCTGCAGGCCAAACTAAGTGCCAGAGTTAAGCCGCTTATTACAATACTAGCAGGAGTATAACACCGCGTGTGAGCTAAATGCATAGTTCAGAGTAGAAAACAAAGCAGCCTTTCTTTTTTTTTTTACATTATTCTGACAGGAATCTTAGTGTAGCAGCAATCCTCATGGGCTCCTCTATTATATATATGTATATAGTATGTAAATGTGTTTGTGTATGTAAAGTGGAGACTCACCTACATCCCCTGGTATCATACTGTCTCATATTCTTGATGAAGTGGACTTTCTTTGGCACCTTGGGTCCAGGAGAACCAGACACATTCCTCAACCTGAGTACCGTTAAGAGATCAAGAACAAACACTTCATTCATCAACGAAACAAAAGGACCTTCACGTGATACAGCTCGATCTGTAATCTGTGATGAAAATCTCTTTAACACCACAGATTCAGAGATAAAGCAAAAGAAGAGGGTCAAGATTCATGAAGTAACATCAAGGAACAGTGTTTAACATTGGGGACTACAGTGAAACAACCCTATAATGTTGCATCTATACATCCCATATCATTTATATATATAATTTATATATGACATATCGTACATCTTTTACAGGTTAAAGCAGAGAATACTGGAACTTTACATAAGTACAGGAGAATGAAAGTGACTTCCTGTCATTATACCTGCTGGTTTCATTTTATGCGGAAGTGGGCAACTTGGGACTGTTTTAAAGGCCAATGTGGAGACACCGACCACTAATAAGGCTTACCTCTGCCGTGAATCCAGAGGATTGCCGGCCGGTACCGGGCTGATAGCGGCGGGCGTTGACCTGACACGGGAGCAGGGCTGGTGTCCGGTGGTAACAGGAGACAGAGGGGTGTCCGGGGTTAGCGTCTCGGCCGCACTACCACCCTCCAGAAATACCTCGTTGGCGCCTACACTGGTCGCCCCGGTAGGTCCCGGGGACATGACCACAGAAGGTGCTGGAAAACTGAATGACGAGCCACTGCCGGCCGCGGAGGGTTCTGTCACCTGGAGGACCGGTTCATAGCTATCCGCCGGCGGGGGCGCGACCATTGCGCCACTGTCTCTGTGCCTGAGTCGCTGCTGCTCCTCGGCGGCTTTTTGGTCGGTGTTTCCATCGCTGAGCTGACACTGGGGCCGTCCGTCGAGTGAGATATTAGTTAAAAACAACAAAGCCGCTTGTCTTCTCCTAGAATCCTTCGCTTTCCTCCGGTGTTCTCGGTGTGTTTTCACTGGTTTGCCGTTGTTGCCGTTGCAGACGGCGGTCGCCATTCTAGTTTGAAATGTGGCCGTTGAACGCGAAGGCAACTGGAGACCGGTAGCGCAGCATTAAGCCACGCCCCACTTGGCGCTGATTGGCTGTAGTATATTAGTGGGAGGTGCTCTGTAAACAAAGGAAGTATTTACTAAATTCACCAATTAAATTTAATTGCTGATAAATGTATATTTATATGAATTGATTGAACTACTTTTTTTAAATACAATTATTTAAAAAAAGAAGTATATCTGTAAAAGTCAATCTGTACACATTTAGACTGTTCAGAGACTGTCCAACATTTGATGCAGCCAAAATATATATGCACATATATATGCACTCAATGATTCTCTCACACCTCAGTTGCTGTATTACCTCATGGTCGCAGGCAAGTTCATCAGTGACTAAACCCCTAAATAGGTTAATCGTGCAGTAAAAAATAGGACAAAAGGCCGATAGGATCAAACAAATTGTCACATCCTGGAAAACCTGAACATGCTGAGTAAACTATATTGCATTTGCAACCGCCATTCTTGAACTGTGAAACTGTGAAAGCATGAAATTATTTAGATTCAACAATTATGCACAAGTTACAAATTCAAAACCCAAACTATGCTTAGCATTATGGCCATTATGTAGCCATTATGCCCAATTTTTAGCATTTTTAGCAATGCTAGCAGCGTGCTCCATGGATGGCAACATAAGGCATTATATATATTTTTATATTTCTATTCACTGTGTTTTAAAGTGTGTAGTTTCTGTGTTTAAAAAAAAAGCACTAACGGCAAAAATCAGGTAAACACATTGCTCTTTATTTCAGCAACAACAACATAATGAAATTGTCTTCACCTTCTCATTCATCTTTTTTTTCTTGCTCTGAACAGCAACCGTCTGGTATGACCAGTTTAAGGCTTTTTGATTCTAGCTTTGTGTTTGTGTTTTGAGGTACAGCCCTGCCCAAACTCCTGCCATAACAAGCTCAGTTTATGGTACACCTTGTGGTAGTTATGTGATGGACTCAAACAGTTAGCACCATAATTGAAACCTCTCTGGCTTTTTTTATTTTTTTAACTGCAACAGGGTTGGTAAAGGTGTTCAGTGGGCTGTTACTTATTTATTTTAGTGTCATCTGGGAAAACTGAGCTGACTGGACAGTGTTTACAACAAAACTGTCTTATCTCAATGACACATTTCAAATGAACCTAAATGTACATGGCAGGACTCCCCTCCCCCACATACACCCATACACATGCTGGTATATGAGCTCACACACACACACATACACGCAAACACACACAAACACACACACACAGTTCAGAAAGTTCCTTCTTGTGACTACTCTATACAAAAACAACCCTGATAAAATAAAGTACGGTATCACTTTATTTTACAGGACCATAAATTCTTAATAATTTCATGGGAAAGTTCCTGGAAACTAATATTTAGCACTAATAGGTAAATAAATACAAAAAAATGAATTAATTTAAATGCTAAACTAGGGTGACCATGACTCTACAGCAGGTCAGAAATGTGTAATTTGTTGAGTATGGTGAGTATTCAATTCATCATATATGAAGAATTAATTTTCCAATAATTAGTGGGTGATGAATACATTATTTGGGGGTTTAAATAGAGCAGTTATTTCAAGGGAATTCCTCTGGAAATCAACAGCTCAAATTATCTCTCTATATTCCCTAAAACTGATATCTAAATCAAAATGTATTTCTCGGAAAATTTAGAAAAAATTAAATGGAAATTACCGATCCTGTAAAATAAAAGTGTTACCACAAGTATCACATGCCTGTACCATCAATAATATCAAAGCTATTCCGAGTCTGGAGTCTGCAGCTAATTATTTTTTCTCTACATTATTCAGACAACAAAGTATGGATACAGTAATATTACAGACAGTGCTGTCCCTCTGTAACGTCCTCTTCATTATACAGTTTAATTTACATGGAAATTAATGTCCCGTTTCCTTTGCGGTGTAAGACGGATGCAGTATGAAAATACAATTGTTGAGAGTCCCATCAGAATACATCCTGTAAATGTAAATCATAATGTTGTTCAGTACACATTCTGAATGAAGGTGCATCTCATTGGAATAATAGTGATGGCGTGTCCCAAAAACAACAGACTGCTTGTAAACACACAAATCTCTTTTTTGTTCTAGCTTACCTAAAAAAACAAAAACAAACCTTGTACCACAGGAATGTTGTAAATCCCACTAACAGCATAAAAATCCTTGAAGCCTTGTCACAAATAATCACATTTTCAACTGTTTTTACATTCAGCATTTTCAGAGAATCCTTCAACATGAGTGAGTATATATGGAAAAGTATGATTACGACCATCAGTGCCTGTGATGTATTTATTGTAGATTGTGTTTAAAATGACAGTGCGAGTTCATCATCTTTGAATGCCTCTCACCCTTCTACATCTTGTTCAATGATGTTTCATTTCTAGCTGCCACAAATAGTCATGCATGTTGAAGGCTCGTCTCTGTTGTTGATCGCCTTGAGAGGATGCGCTGAAGCACCTTCACTGAGGAGGACTTTCGGCCTCTGATTAAATAATCAGCTCCACTCCTCTGACTACCTGTGCTTCTCTCTAACTTCACCGGACAGCAAGTTTGCTGCTGACGTCAACCTCTTCCTGTACCACACCCCGACCTGAGAAATGATACAGAAACCGAAATATGCACCATCATTACACAACATCACAGCACTTTTGCCTTTGTAAAAAATAAAGACACCACACTCTCACACCTGTTTGTCTCCACTGACTGACTGTACAGAGATCAATCAAGTTAGGCGGGGAGCGGAAACAGACTGCTCAGTGAGAGTCATCCACCTGCCATTGTGTTTAAGGCAGGGTGTTCACATGGCTCGAGCTGAGTTACAGCCCCTTCGGCACATCACACGGTGGTCTCGTACTCCATCACTTCTTTGGGTGTGCCCAGACAGCGGTACTGGATCCTTGGCGTGACCGGGGCGGCGCTTTCGAGCACCAGGATGGTTTTGCGCAGCCGGCGGTCGATGAAGTGAGCATCCCAGGCTGGGTACTTCTTCCTGGGCAGATCTATGCGGATGACAGGCCCCTCTGTCCTGGGTGTTAGGTTGGGCACTGGGGCCTGAGCTCCCCGAAGTGGTCGTACCTGAAACACGTCTCCATCTACCCCAGACCCCTGCTCTCTTTCTGACCCTTTAGTTCTCTGAAGGGTTCTGGGGGGGCTGCTCACCACGTCAGGGGGCAGGCTGGTAGCTGGGGAGGCCAGCGTCTCTACAGGCACCTCCTTCTCCACAATATAACCCCACCCTGAGACCGGGCCGTCAGGGTGCAGCAGACAGTAATACACAAACATGAAGAAGGTGCCCAGAGCGTAGCTGCTGGCCACCACGCACACCATGATGACGGCGTAGAAGTCTGAGGTACGAGGGTCGCGGTACAAATACCAGGCAGTGGTGAGCGCCACATTCTCAACGAACACAGTCAGGCTGTAGATGAGCAACCTGCAGCGAGTGCGCCCCTCTCTAACACTGAACCAGCAGAATACATACACGATGCCCACCATCATGTTATAGATAATCTCCTCCCATTTGGACATGCAGAAGTCCGTCTCGCCTTGAATGATCCAAAACGTCATGATGCACCAGTGGGCCACGATGAAGATGCCAAAGTAAAGCTGGAACACAGAGGCAAACAGGGCGAAGGCCAGAGTGCGGGCGCCGATGGTGAACAGGTGCCACAGAATCTGAACTATGACGGCCTTGTAGGTCATGGGTAGCTTATCGTCTCGGGAGTCCCTCAGAGCTTTCTGATAGGAGGCGACCATCCAGGCGAGGGATAGCAGCGAGGCAGAAGCTGAAAGCCCTGGAGAGACAGAGGGAAGAGAGAGATGAGCAACAGAAGTTAGACCTGATGAAAATGGCTAGGGGGTAACTGTCGTACCATTTAGCACAGCAAGAATATACACTTCTCTGCTCTGTTGGAGCCTGATTGAGGCACATCATAAGTGACTCATCGTACATAGCGGTGGGGCTTCAGACGTGTGATTGACTGATGTGGTGATTGGCCATTTTGGGACACTCACCCTGAAGGGGCAGCAACTGAGTGGCCTGGATCATGATGCTGAGCTGCAGCACCAGCTGAGGGGCACTCTTCAGGAAGGACTCAAGCAGACGCAGCATGCTGATATCGGCGCTCTCAAACATCATGCGCCAGTAGTAGTGTCGGCGCTCAGGGTCTCTGTGCCAGCGGCTCTGCACACCCAAATACAGGGCGTGGACATACCTGTGTATCAGGGGCAGACGCAATTCAGACACATTCATCAGTGTGTTAAGGCAGAATGTTAGGTCTAAAAACTGTGCTTCAAAAACATTTGGACTTCAAACTCTCAGAAGTCATAACTCATTATTCCAAACTCTGGGAGCTGTCAGTACTTCTTGCCAAAAAAGCTGACTGCTTGCTCCTCTGGGAGACTGAACTATGCAGCTCTGTGATTTAAATTTTAGTACAGACATCGGAAGGGTTGAATGTGGAGCTTGTCTGTAATCTCTCTTCAAATAAAATCAGTCAGAGTGCTGCAGAAAAAGCCAAATATGAGCAAAGAAATCCAAATACATGCACTCAATCTCTTCTTCAGATTCAAGGTTAGAGGGGGGAAAAGAGCGCTCGCTATAAATCCCCTGTCGAACTCCTGAGCTTTGCTGGCATGTAGTCCCACCCCCCATCGCTTGTTCTATAATGACCTTGTATGACAAACACACATCGTTTTGTAGACACACAGGTTCACATACTTGTACTGTGCAAACATATTTCTGCACAAATGCATTGACACGTGACACCTATTTGTACCATGCAAATACACACTGTGTAAATCTTTACTTTCCCACCTAACTGTTTGAAAAAGAGATGTGGTTGACGCGGAGGACTGAAGCTATAAATGTATCAGTAATTGCCTCAGGGAGAAGGGTCTGAGGAGCCCTATGTCAACAAGCCCAGCGAACCACAAGGGAGTTTGTGTAACCATCTTTTTGTTCTGCTTCCTGCTACACAAAGTGTGCCTTGGGATGTAACACACTGAGAAAATAGAGCATACGTGCAATAATGAGGGTCAAAGACTCGGGAGGACACACACAAAGACAGAGTTTCATTGCACACATTCAGGCATGTAACACAACCCCATATCCCATCTCTTGTGTGCTGACATTTAATTCTGGTAGCTGGCCCAAATTGATCCCCGGTTCACCTGACTAACAGTGTATCAGTGACAGATCATTCCTGAGTTAACAGCTGAGGGTAAAACACAGGGCGGTAATCCTCTTAATGTGCAGACACGCCGGTCTGAGAGCAGCGGCAATGAACGGAGCACACACACACACAACAGCTTTAATGGCATTACCGGTAATTCTGTGCCGCCACGATGTTTTAATGTGCTCCTGGACACACTCACACACATATAAGTCTATGTCTCCAGGAGGAAATAAGGAATCAATATATATTACCCATAGGGCTGTCTAAAGAGGCAGGAAGAGAGCGACCACAAAGATAGATTCTGAAGGCCTACAGATAAATCAAACAAGTGATTTGCATTCATCATTGCACATAATTTGTCCTTCTATAACGTTTTAGCATGTATATAATGTACAACTTGTCTTTGAATATCATCGCATTTTGTCTAACCCTCCTCCTACTACAGTTCAGCTGGATGCCTCCTCCTGGCTGGCAGCAGTTCAAGCCTGTCAAAACCCATCAGAGCACTCTAAGCGTGAGCACTGCCTTACCATCACTGAGTTGCTGACCTACAGACCTACTAGGCCTACCACCCATGTGAGAGGAGAGTGTATACACCGGTTTGTTTGTAGTCTCAAAGTGTGCCTCATAATTAAACATGTTTGGGCTCGACTGAGAGGAACAGACTGAATCTAAAAACAGCTGGGGGATTTGAGAATATGGATTTAGCAAACATTAGAGCAGGCGCCTCAAGCTAAGAACTGAAAATACCCAGTGAAAGGGAGACGGGTACACATCTCACTGCAAATAGGAAGCAACTCTCATGACATTTAAGAGTATTCATTTTCTCCAGCATGCAGGCTCCTTCTTGCCAAAACCCCTAAAGACAAAGGGATTTTTTTTATTTTTCTATATAAGGCGATTGGTGTGGATGAGTTGATGATTTTCCTGGGAGATGATTGACCTAAAAACCTGTCAGGGGGTTTGGGGGGTGGGGGTGGGCTGGGTGGAGTCTAATTCTCCCTTTCTAAGCTGGAGACACGTCAAACAATACAAAAAGACATTCTGGCATTTTGGGCACAGAACCTCCCTGAATGATTTACATTTCATAAGCGTTTAGCTACAGGGAGTGATGCTGTGGGCTGTGGAGAACGCATGTGCACATAGATACAGACACACACACACACACACACACACACACACACACAAAGGCAGAATGTGTAGTTTCCCCTGCTCTCAGATGCCGTTATATTCAGACTTACCTCCAGACCTGTGCCAGTTGAAAGATATGAATGATGGCCTGTAAGAACCATATGAAGGCTCTGCAGCAGCCCCGGGCTCCTCCCCCGATGCCCGGCCCTGGCAGCACCCCGGCCTCCTCGGCAGAGCGGCCAGCGCCCCGCTCGCCGCTGTCCTTGGTGCTGAAGTCGCTCTCCTCCGCTACCGACGCCCCCACCACGGCGGCCGCAGCCGTGCCGCTCTCGACGGTTTCCGAGAAATCGTAGGCGAACCATCGGAAGCTCAACACTTGCACCACCACGGACGGGATTATCACAAAGACCAGAGTCAGTGCAAAGCACCAGTAGGACCTCCTAAGGTAGTAGTCCGCGGCCAGCCACAGGTCTGAGGCCCCGTCCGAGAAGAACACCAAAAGGGCGCACAGCGTCCAGCAGCAGTCCGGGACGGAGTAGCGCTGCTCGGCAGGACGGTGCTGAGGAGGCCGCGGGTCCGACCTGGAGGGACACTCGGGTGGGATTTCGTTTCGTAGAGAGACGGGTGCACCATCAGATTTCGCGGCCATGTTTGTTGTAGGGAAGAGAGTGAGTAAGAGATGGGAAAATGATGGAAGGGGGGGAGGGGGGTCGCGTAGCCTGTCGGTCTGTATGCATGCGTGTCGGAGAGAGGGAGGGGAAAGGAGGCAGGGAGGAGGGCCAGGGTAGGTGAGGAGGACTGGGAGTCACCGCCGCTGCTCACTCAGCGGTGATAATATAGAGAGATATTTATAATTCTACAATATAAACGCTGCAGGTCTAATTCAATGCTTTTAGAGAGAATATTTCTCTGCTGGTAGATTTACTATACAGCAAGTTGACTCATCTTGCTTACGTTGCAGTTTTAGCCAGTGGTGGAAGAAGTAACTCAGATCCTTTACTTCAGCAAACGTACAGTAAAATGCACACTCTAAATATATACTATGAGGAAAACGGCAGCAAAATGCATTTAGAAGCAACAAAAAGTAAAAAAAACGTACTCGTTCTGCAGGAATGGTGTCTGTGACAGATGTGTTACATTGTTAGACATACTGCTGCATCAGTGTGAATGTTCAGGTGGCATTTTGTTACTGGAGTTACTTTGACATAAAGGTCAGAGCCCCTAAAAAAGGGCCACAAGATACAGTACATCATAGCGGTGGTAAGACGGTCACAGCATGAGAGAAGAACAAAAAGTTCTAATACACAAATTGCTTCTGTGTGATATATTGGCTTATTATCCCTTTGATCCTTTAAATAAATCCATATGAGAAGTTTAGAGGCGTAATCTCTTTGGAGGAAATGCAACTATAACTGTAACAATGGATGCCAACTAGACAGTTGGTCCAACTATGGTTTTATCTTTAACAATACATTGTACAATACTATCAAGGCGTATGACGTATTTTCATATTTTGTATCTGTAAATAACTAACTACAGCGATCTTATCTTGTATCTCACATGTTAGAGGCCTTTGTGTCTCATCACTCTAAGGTTGATCAGCTGATGAGTCTCGTCTGCCTTCACTTCCCTCAAGGCCATAATCTGATCCATTTCTATTCTGCTTTTGCTGCCTCGACCTCTGAGGGTTCCTCTTTCTCTGCTCCTTCTTCAAAAACCTCCGCTGCTGGTCAGCTGAGCCAACTCCTGAGCTAGAACGCTGGTGACTTGTGTTGAGTCTGTCATGTCTGCCAACAGGAAACACTACAGCAGCACTTTAAGCTTGTCGAGGCTCTCTTTGAGGTATTGATCCTCTCGCTACCGTGTCCTGAGCCGTATACCGACTTGGAAAGAACATGATTTATAATTCAGCCAAAGTAACGAGCAAATCAACACATGGAAATATCCAGCATTATATTTTCCTCATTACCAAACCTTGGAAAACACACGAAACAAAACAAGACAAAAATAATGAAAATGTACTAAAATTTAATCATTCATAAAAGCTGGAAAAGCATCTGTGACAGCAATATTAGAGTTGGTTTAGTACAATATATTTTCAGCCTCAAGACACAAATCAGAACACACCATTTCCCCCATCAGTCTATAAAATACTAATTTCCTTAGCTGTATTATGCAAAAATGGAAGTAGAATATATTATGGGAAATATGGAAGGCTTGCAGCTCTCAATAAAAAACAAAGTCACTTAGGAAAGATGTTATCTCAATACACATCCTTGAAAGTAGGAGCGAGTAACTTATGGACAATGATGCATCTTTGTTGACACCGTTAGTACAGAACTGTATGAAAAGGTCAACATTTCACAAGGTTTCCTTTTGCAAACGTATTGTCACACTATGCCAACGATTGATGTTACTTTTAATAAAACATTTTAGTTCCCATATATGGATTTAAACCCACGGTCTCTTCTTTTACACTAATATTTCAAAAAGAAAGACACATCGGAGAAGAAAAGACAACAAATAAAACAATAACAGAGTTGTCATCAGGCTGACAATACAAAAAAAAGAGGTGGATCTCTTCGCTGCTTGAAAAGCAGAGAAGAGCATCTTGAGATTATGTGCCGTCTCCTGGTGAAGTATCTCGGTCTGCCTTTTTCAAAATGCTCTGGAGAGGACTTGGAATGCTGGCACGATCCACTGGGAAACAGTTAATCATGACAAGTTTCTGAAAGCAAGAAAGAATTAATAATATCAGAAGATATTAAACGTTGTGAAGGATAGACAGAGAAGCAGGAACCGCAGTTTGGAGCCGATGCCTCAAACTCAAATGACCCGGGAGCCGTGTCGGCTTTTATTGATGCCAAAGTTACGTAATCAGTTTTAAAGAAGTGTCGTTTCTTTTGAGAAGTTGACACAACGTGACGGTCACCATGATGAATTCCATATTCCAACCAAGCTTCAAGTCTCTAGAGATTGATTTACATATTAAAGTGAAAAGACTAATGATTTACAATTACAAACCTGGGGAAATGCATTAAAAAACACGATGACATGCTTTGGGAAACAGTGTCTGGTAACGTTAAATCCAACACATTAGTCCAGCGCATTATTAGTAGAAACAGGAAGTGTGGCAGGAATATTTAATTACAGTTACAACGTTCCAACAGCAGGTGGAGCCACAACATTCATGAAAGACCCAGAACGTGATACAATTTGGATAAAACATTAAAAATCATCTTTGATCAAATTAAAAAATGAAGGCCTAAAATGGATTTTCACACAACTAGCTTTCACTGGACATTAGTTCCAGGTTTTCATCTATCTGTTCATATGAAAACAGCACTACAAGGCAGAAAGGGACTAGAGAGCGTATATATTTACTCTTGTTCCCCCTGAAAAGATTTTCTTTATGAGTTATTATCGTTACAAAGTCATCAGTGATTTATCAAGTTGATCTGGTTACTGCAACACAATACTTGCTTGCCGTCAAAATGAATTATATTATAAAAATCCCTGCAATAAACATCTAAACGTTCATGACAATCCCCAGCTCAGTGTGCAGCGGGAGGCCGGCTGCTCGTGTCTGAAATACATTTAGATTCAACACCCACTCACCTGGCCTGGAGCTGCTGTGGGAGGGCATTTTAGAGCAGTGTGCAACTCGACTTCTTTTTTGTCTTCTTTTCCATCGGCGTTTTTCTGTTGATCTGTCTCACCAGATCATAGAAAATCTGAAACAAGAGAAAGTTCATCTGTCTCAACGTTTCAGCGATCACAGAGCGAATATCTTCACGTTTTATTTCTCACGTTAGAAAATAAAGGCTGAAAAGACTGAACTATATGGTACTGAATAAGACAGTTAAACTGTTTTTTGTTGTAGTTTTATTTAATTTTTTTACCATTTTTGTTTTGTCAATGCCACACTGGAGCCATAACCCCTCCCCCAACACTAGATAAAGACTACAGCACATAGCAGCAGTGGTTCTGCTCCTCAATTGTGAGATACAACACTTGTAAGTGGTGTAATGTCCATCTGGCATACCGGGACAAATCTAATCGATGTGCTACGTTTTTACCTGCCGTCCCTCTTTCATGGTGAGCATGAGAGTGTCCTGCATGCGTGTTCCTGGTTACTTTTTGCGACACGTTGTTGGCAACATGTGCTGAGGTTAGTTGCCTTGTGGTGCCGTTTCCATATGCATTGTTCTATGTATTTTGATGCGTGTTGGTACAGATTAATACAGAAGTGTTTGACATGTTCCTTATTTTGATAATGAGAATAGTCACTGAATCGAATCGTGACTTCTGTGTACCGTTACACACACACACACACACCCCCCCCCCCCCCGATAGTGACCGTACTTACCTCATTAACATTGATCTTTGATTTAGCTGAAGACTCTAAAAAGGCACAGTTGTTCCACTGACGAGCCAGGTTCTGGCCCTGCTCCTTTCCAACCACACGCTCGTCCTCCAGGTCACACTTGTTTCCCACCAGGATCATTGGAACCTGATTGATTAACAGAAACGATAAAAGGTTTGAGCTAAAAGGCAATATCTTTACACAGCCAAACATGCATGATTCACTCGGTTTATGATCTTATATACAAGGGAAATATTAAGTGAAACACAAGACCAATCAATAAATAAAGCACAGACTCAGCGTGCTGCACGTCCTCTCTCTAAATCAGGAGACGGAGAGACCAAGACTGGAAGTGGCAGATAGCGTCTAACAGCTCTGACATTTACACCCTGTCACAAAGTCCCCCCCCCCCCCCCCAGATTCGCTCGGCCCTCTCTCCCACAGAGCCGACTCTAATGAGGGAGCAATGAGCCCGAGAGGAGACACGGGCAGATTATACAGAGAAACACCGATAAAAGGTTAGAACCAAGGAGAACCTCTGCACACGCGGAGGAAACATCTTGATGATCCCCAAGACTTTCGGGAAAACACTCTGTGGACTGACGAGACAAAAGTTGAACTTTTTGGAAGGTGTATGTCCCATTACATCTGGCGTAAAAGTAACACGGCATTTCAGAAAAGGAACATCATACCAACAGTAAAATATGGTGGTGGTAGTGTGATGGTCTGGGGCTGTTTTGCTGCTTCAGGACCTGGAAGACTTGCTGTGGTAAATGGAACCATGAATTCTGCTGTCTACCAAAAAATCCTGAAGGAGAATGTCCGGCCATCTGTTCGTGACCTCAAGCTGAAGCGCAATTGGGTTCTGCAGCAGGACAATGATCCAAAAACACACCAGCAAGTCCACCTCTGAATGGCTTAAGAAAAACAAAATGAAGACTTTGGAGTGGCCTAGTCAAAGTCCCGACCTGAATCCGATGGAGATGCTGTGGCATGACCTTAAAAAGGCGGTTCATGCTCGAAAACCCTCCAATGTGGCTGAATTACAACAATTCTGCAAAGATGAGTGGTAAAAGCGCTGTAAAAGACTCATTGCCAGTTATCGCAAACGCTTGATTGCAGTTGTTGCTGCTAAGGGTGGCCCAACCAGTTATTAGGTTTAGGGGGCAATTACTTTTTCACACAGGGCCATGTAGGTTTGGATTTTTTTCCCCCCTTAATAATAAAAACCTTCATTTAAAAACTGCATTTTGTGTTTACTTGTGTTATCTTTGTCTAATATTTAAATTTGTTTGATGATCTGAAACATTTAAGTGTGACAAACATGCAAAAAAATAAGAAATCAGGAAGGGGGCAAACACTTTTTCACACAACTGTACATGTCTGCTTTATACATTTTTCACATGTATGCATGTTCTCTGTTCTCTTGTACTGATTCATAGTATCTGAACATTTCTGACCAGTGGTGGGTGAAATGTTGTTCCCCGTTTGTTTGGTTGTGAGAAAATTAATAGCAGATCTGTTTTTGTTTTTTTAACTTTATTGGCTGAGGAAATAGCCTGCAATTTTAAGATGAATTAACCATTTAAAAACCTGTTTGATTATCTAAATAAACTGCCACAAAACTGACAATTAACATAAGTTTTAAAAGAGGACAACACTCACGTCCTCGGTGTCCTTTACTCGCAGGATCTGTTCCCGGAGGTCCTGCAGGTCATTAAACGTCGACTGTGCTGTGATGGAGTACACCAAAGCAAACCCTTGTCCATTCTTCATGTACAGGTCCCTCATAGCCGTGAACTGCTCCTACAGGTCAGATACAGAGAGGAGGAGCCATCAGCAGCATGTTTACATTCATCTTCTTCATCTGATGCTTGTGCCCGACTTGACTTACTGTTCCGGCCGTGTCGAGGATTTCAAGCATACATTGCTGCCCGTCGACCTCCACTTGCTGTTGGAGAAAGAAAAAACATGAATATTTTTCTTATAAGAAACATGGAGGCATTTTAACAGCCAACCACAGAGTTGCATTGAGGTCGGTGTGTTTCGGAGCCTACCTTTCTGTAGGAGTCTTCTATTGTGGGGTCGTACTTCTCCACAAAAATGCCTTGCACAAATTGGACCGTCTGAAACGGACAAATGGAACGAAGGAAAACATCAAGACAGTATATCATTATTAATCAAAAGCTGGCACTGGAAAATATATTTTCCAAAATATAAATACACTTCAAATATATCGAGTCATCAACATTCATCTCTGACTAGAAGCCACTTTCATTTCTTAACACTGATAATTTACATTCTTGAGGCGGCACAACCCTCGACTCAGGCTCATTCATGCCTCCTAGTCTCTCTTATTGATTGTGGTCTGTTGAAATATTGCATCCCAGAATATATTACCCGTAGAATAAATCCCTGTAGCACAACCTACAACTTTATAGAATATATTCCTGTTTAACAAGAATTGCCTTTCTCATTTAAAGCACTACTTTATTGTAAATTGCATCATAACAAATGTCAATAACACCATGTTACTACAAAAATACAACAAACACAATGACTCAGTTTGTCACTCACCAGTGCGGACTTTCCCACGCCACCTGATCCCAGCACCACGAGCTTGTACTCACGCATGGTAGAAAACTTCTCTGGTCAGCACAAGAGTCTGTGGAGCGACAGAGAGAACGACGAAGTGAGACAGAGGATCGTGTCTTTGTGTCGTTTATAGCGACAGAAACATAAACAGCTGAATCCAAACAAGCTTTTCATAAGGAAAATATCACGAAGACCAATTTTAATAAAGTGACTGAAATTAATTCATGCCACATTTCATCTATTAATATAATATTTGAATTAAGACTGCAATCAACAGACAAAAAAACAGCTCAATGGAAGCTACTGTATTCTCTTTGATGCTTTTTATATATACACATTACACTTGTATGTACTAAAACAAGTGTGTTTTCCTGGTTTTATCTGTGTGTTTATTTTACTGTAAATTGATTTTGGAACTATGTTTAAGTACATTGAGTCAAATTCCTTGTACATGTAAACATACTTGGCCGATAAAGAGGATTCTGATTGCAATCAAAGACTTTTTTCTGCAAAATACCAAACTCATAAAATTCCGAATTGCTCACAGTGTACAGTAACTGAAGTAGTGAAGCTGATCGACTGCACATATGTAAGAGTGAACACCCCGTCCGTACAGTGCAGACAACAATCAAAAATCACCACCGACATCAGCGGATTAAAACGCCGTTCCTCTGCCAAAGAATGAGCTCTCTTCCCCACCCACCACCAAGGGACTTCAGCCGTGATGACGACGGGCGTCGCCTCAAAAAAAAAGAAAGAAAATCAAGAGGAGCTTAAGGAAGTCATAGACGTGCTCTTTAACTCCAGAGATTCAGACGGGTGTCGAGTAGCAACGCTGGCATTGAAGAATAATTAAGCGCCCCTTTCAACTTCTGACTTAAAATATGTAATGTGGAGAAATGTGCTCTGAAAAGTTCAATAGATCCTAAAAATATCACAGTCAGAACATAAGAGTTCCAGTGCCGCCAATAACTGAATCTCATTATTATGCGGAGGAGAAGGCCGCAGACGATGACCCATCACCATCAGCCTGCAACAGTTCAGACATGAAAAGGCCCAGAAAATATTAAGAGTCAGAGGAACTCTCACAGGCGTGAAAATGATTCAGATGAAGACGGATATGTTTTCTTAAAACAATCTGTTATCGTCCAGGGATCAAAATCTTTGACAACTTTGCTGCTGATAATAATAACAATAATAATAAACCCCTTGAGTAATACAGTAGGCTCGTCTTCTGTTGTGTAATTTTCCAACACAATTTTATTTAATTTGTGTGTTTTGTTTTCTTGTGTGACTAAACGCTGAAAGTCACAAACGCTGATAATCAAGCAGTGTTAAATTATATTCTGAAATGCAAATGCAATCTTCATTTGATGTACAAAATGTCAAAGAGGGAGTGATGCACACTAAAATCTCATTTACCAACCTCTTTGAATCTATTAATCACACTAGGTCTATTGGACATTTGCCAAATATTGAGACAAACAATACAAAAAAACACTCTGTTACACTCGACCGTCATTTGCAATTCTAACGAGGACGTATGAAGCCCACAGTGTGAGACCGGCACACGAGGCCCTCTACAAAGAGGCATTGTAATGGCCCTCTCTACTCAAGCACACCATGCAAACAGAAAATGGAGATCAATCAGGGGGTGCCATGCATGACCACTGCACTGAAATCATTACCACGGCAAAGGGGGGGTGCACCTAGGGTGACACCAACGTGTGCCTGATGCCTTAGTCAGCCGAAAAATGTTACGTGAACCATTCTGTGATTAACATTAAAATTTGTGTGGGTGTCACAAAACTTGCTTCTAAGCCCTGACATCAGATAAGAAAGCTAATCCTTCCACCGATTAGATACGAGCCTGGACGCAAACATTTCAAGAATCGAACACTTGAGCTGACAACCTTCACCAAACCTACCCGTAAACACTTCCTGGTTTTGTTGTTGACAGTGTCTCATTGGTGCCAACAGCTAATCATCACTTTATCCCACATTCCTGATCAGGAAGTGAAATGTAAACATCCATCCCAGTTCACAAATGGACACAAGAGTATTTTGCACACAATCTGTGCAGTAAATCAAAAAGCAGATTCATGCTGAGAAAACAGCTTCACCTACTGTGTACACGGCTGCTGCAGATGTCAACTCCCTCTACATCTGGGGAGGGGGGGGGCACCGGCAGATCCTCAGGTACGCCGATGTCAGCGGGCAGATGTTAAGTGTCGGTTGGGAGCCAGAAAACAAGACTACACCAAACTGTTCAGACAGGAACCTGGCCCTGAATTAAACCAAATACGGCAGTGTTTACAGTCCACCCAGATGAAAACTGGATTGTTTGCTTTGTGTTTACAAAGTCAGACAAATGAAAAACGTAAGGACAACATTTGACACCAGAGCCCATCGGAAAAACAGTCAATTTATTAAAATCATCCGCTGTGCAGTGTTAGCTTATTCATCCAGTGTTATGATAATGATGCTTTTCTGGGATGACTTTAGTTGCTAATCTAAGTGCTGTGTGGGTCTACTTTATAATCAGGAGGTGAGTTGTCACATGTTACATAACAAACAAAAAGTATTCCATGAGAGACCTGTTGCTGATCAACATACAGACAGTAAAAAAAATACATGTTTATCTAAAACATTCATTACAAGGCTGGTGGACTTTTTTAAATGATGTCTAACTGGGCTACTCTTTAGTTAGTGTGTCAGAGTTAAGAGGGGGTAAATTAATTTTAAGTTAACGTTAACAGAAGAGCACAAACACGCTTCTGATTTAATAAAACTTTTATTAAAATATATTGTGTAAAACTACGCCTTTTTTAGTCAAACGAGTAACGTTAGTGCTATAGTGGCAATTAAAAATACGAACTTATGTTTGTGACAACTTAAAGCGAAACGTTGGTTGGTTTCGAGAGGAAGGGTGTGGCTATGAAGCAACAGAGTGAGACCGTAACACGGTCTAACACGAGCAGTCAAACTCGGCTTTATATTATATATTGATGGATCGACATAGCTTAAATAAGGATTTAACGTCGAGGGTGAGAAGTCGTCGCCAAGACCAAAAAAGTAGCTTAAATACGACTTCCAAATGTTAGCATTCAGCTAGCAACATTTGGTAAAAGCAAGCTAACATGGGTGTTAGCCTGGAGAGGGTACGGCAAGCTGTGCGGAACAAACACTGTTAACCAACACTGGCGTGGTAGAGAAAACAAGTCGAGCTCACGGTTTTTACGTCGTTCGCGTCTGACAAACATTAAACTCCATTTTAATTCGCCTAACGGTCAACATAAATGTTTAGCTAACAGCGTTAGCTAGCCAGTTAGCATTAAACTGAACTCTAAAATCTCGTGTTTTCATTCACGCTAATCTTGCTAATGTTTGATTTACCAGACGCTGGTTGAGTTAACATGTGGATACACTGCTACATATCTGAAAGCGAGTGAGATACAATCGGATATAAAACTACTTGAAGTACAAACCATGTTTGTACCGACAACTCGTTAGTTAGCTCGTCATTAGCTGGCGTTAGCATCTCAATACAGTCATCTAGCTCGGAAGCTAAAGCTATTTCATATTTAGCTGTAGTGGAGCCAGCGGGCATGCTAGTGTCTCATCAGAGACAGTGACATTTTAGAGATTAATCAATAAACTTCACAAGACACAAAACTTGATAATTAGCAATAAAAATGGCAAATTTTCCGCACGGGTAAAGCTTCACAAGACACTTACCGAGCTCCGCTGTGTGTGCGCTTCTCTCACTATGTGAATGTGCGGAAGGGTCGGAGCGGAAGCTAATGATTGGCTCAGGATCAGCCAATCACAGCTCTCCAGGTTAAGGAACAATTTAAACCTCTTCAGATAAGTTTATTTTATAGCAAATTTCATACAAAAGGCGTCGAATAAAAAGCAATGACCAAAGGCTATATCTCAAAAATATATATGATATGAATATATAAGATAAGAAAGGATTACATATATAAAACATAGAAGATATATAGAGGTATAACAATAAAAAGGGAATGAGATATGATGATGGTATTTTTTAATAAAAAAGGGAATAATACTGTTCATACAGTTTTACACTTCTGCTTTTAAAAGAGGACCCTGTGGCCACTTAGTTGATGTGGTTAATCATTCCATGGAGTAGGACCATAAGGACACCATTCGCTGATTTAGACTTTACTCCAGGCACAGTGAGGAGACGCAGTAAATTCTGTCGATCACAAGTTCTCTGCAGGAAGAATATAGCATCTTAAGAGTCCCATTAAAAAGATGATTAGTGTGATGTAAAGCATGATGACTGTTATACAGAGTTTCCATTATAAGCCACTATTGTTTATTATTTCAGAGCCATTTCATTTTCTGTGCCTTACATTTGGCTTGTTTGGCCTTTTCTTGTTTTATTGATACTTTGGTTTTTTTTTATTTAATCGTTTTTGTTTTTAGTGTTTTAGTGCGAATCCCTGGAAGACTAACGACCATTTTGTAGAAGATAATGGATCCAAATAAAGACTAAATTAAAAGATACATGAGCGATAATCCACTGAACACTGATGTCACCAGGAAATGAAAAGCATGTTTGTTTTATAGAGCTGGGATGTCACCTGTGCCACCTCCAGTGATGAAATATAGCTCATAAAGTGCATTTACTCAGGTAAAGTACATGTAGTTATCTTAAAAGTAAAAGCCATTTTCTGCATTGATTACTTTTATTTTTGATGCTTTAGAGTATTGCTACAGTTTGGTATTGCTACTTCCAAAGACTCTGAATACTTCCTCCGCCACTGGTAAACCTATTCACATCCATCCAACACAACCAGTAACATTATTTACACCCTGTGAAAGAGATAGAACCACACACACGTGAAAAAAGGAGTGGACCAGGAAAGTGGTTTATTGTATTTACTGGTGTGCTGGTGTTTAATTTAGGAAGGACAAAGCATTTCATAAACAAACAGATGAATATTACTATTGAATCTCAAACACTCCCAGAAGAAGATATACTCAGCAGGAAGAGAAAGAGCTTTTTATGCTCTTATGAACCCATTTGTGACTTAAAAAGCCATCCATTTGGTGTAGATGAAGTGCATGTACTTGGCTTGCCATATAAACTGTATCCCTCTGAACTAGTAATCTCATAAGTACATATTTACCTTTTCGTTCACATGGTGCACACAGAGTGCTGTGATAACTTGGCTGGACCTTACAGCTGTGGTCACTGAGATGTTGAAGGCAGCAGACCTGAGTCGGCACACATCTGTCTCGCTGATGTTTTGGTAACTACAGCAGCTGATAAGGAACAGAATGCAGAGTTGAGTCACCTTACTTATAGGAATTTGAGTGAAATGTCTTAACAACAATTGGAAGGATTGTTTGAGTTTCATTCGATGCTTATTATTGCTTTTGTCACTGAGACACATTTAATGTATGTAGGTGTGTCACACTATTGGTTGTATCTAAATGTTTTCTTCAGTTGATCATCCACTTATTATTTCCATATGCCATTGTGTGTCTGCTTTGTTTCTGTGACTGTTGGCATGACAAAGGCCCACATGAAAGAGCAACACAGCCAGCTGGTCACAGCCCAGTGACTGCATGGATTAGATGCGTTACTCTCAGTGCATATCTTCCTCATTACACTGGCTAAATATGGAGTTTGTGACAGGCTGTTCATCCTCAGATGACTTATGACTGCAAACATCATTTAATGTACTGTGTGCTGGCGACAGCGCTGCCACGTTACTCCAGCAAAAGGTTACTGCCCTTGTTGAAAACAAACAAATTAAAGAGCTATTATACAGTCATCATCGTAAACTGCAGATATGAATGTTATAAATGGCAGCCTTGAGTTATTAAAATAGAATGTATACAGCATCTGTTTCTGTGGTGTGCTCGGTAGTCACACAAACAGACGCTATGAACACTGACATGTCCTTCGACCCCATCATACAAACTAAAGATTACCTTAAAAATAGACACTCAGGTATTTGTCAGTTTAGTGCAACACTGGTGATCAAGCTTTCAGGCCAAACTAAAATAAAAGAGACATTAACAGATGTAATATTTGATATAAGGAGAATCCACAAGGCCTCAGCTTTAACCTTAAAGTTGTAGTCACTTCCTGCTCAGAGTCGACCAATTAAACATAAACCAGTGACAGAATATTTAGTGTGAATAGTGTGAAAGCAGGTTCCAACTCCTTATTAATTAATCGCATAATGAAATGATATCAGTTTCATCTGATATAAGCTTTCGTTATGCTGTTATGCAACAGCCCCCCCCCCACACACACACACACTAGGTTGCTGTTGGATGAGAAGAGGAAACGTGTGGACTGTATTATGAACGTTGCTTTGTCCATTTGTAACACTGGCTTTATTAATCACAGATGAATTTCCATTACCATGAAAACATGCTTCATATAAACTGTAAATCGTTTATTCTGTGGCTGTTTTGAGGAAAGGGGAAAAACTCTTCATATGTTGTCAGGATGCATTTGACTCACTTAACTCTCACTGACACGTCACTTTCTTTGCTCAGTGTGTTTTTCAGCTCCGGCTGCGAGTTGCTCAATGTTTGTCTTCGTGTTATGAGATCTGAACGCTCTTCTGTAACAAAAAACACCTGATACGCATCTGACCTGTGACACATCAGAATACTAATTCTTATAAAATCACTTAGACTATTGCTGATCATTCATGCTGCAGCTCGTCAGCACTCAACGGCCGTCACATCTGCTCGATAACAGGCAGCCTGAAGGATAGTTCATGGATGTATTTTTATCACCAGATACTTTATGGTCACAGATTTATGGCTCTCCTCCAGGCTGTACCTGCTGTCATTAGCTTGCTCTTCGTCCTTACTAAAATTGTAAAGAGCTGGACAATGGCTGAGGTCTTAAAAACATGTAACAACAGCACGCTGAGCTTGAGCTTCTTAAATTTTGATTCGTTTTTATTCCATTTTGAAGTCAAGAGTGGAAAAACTAAGAAGTCAGCGAGACACCTTTTAAAGCCGATCATTCTTGTTAAGCATCTCACTGACGTTGAAGCCTCAAAGCTGTTTTGTCAAATGTTGGCAATGTTTTTTATATGATCATTGTTACATTTAACTCTGGATACGGTCAGTATCAGACTGATCTGTTGACACCCACAGGAAGAAATCAAAGTCTTTGCATGCAAGTAATCCCTCCCCTTTAATACATTTTTATTTGTGTGTTTCAACACTTACCAACAGGTGAATGTACACTAGACACAAAGAACAATAAATGAGATCAACTCTGAATGATGTTCCATTTGAAATCATGTCTACAAGGACATCTAGTGGCTTCTTTCTTCCGTGTGTTCAAGTGAAATGACGGGACTTCTCCATAGAACAAAAGGGCTTTATTCCACAATATAAACTTGTAACATCTTCAGCTACCCCAAAATCCTCCTCACAGCACCCTACATTACATGCTGTGGTGGTAACGTGTCATCGCCGATCACCACAGATGTAATCCCTCCATCTGTGTAGCTCTCTGTACATCACACCATCGCTGAAGCACCAACACAACTCAGCGGAGATCAAGCCATTTAAGTCGATTCGGACAAAAATTATTGCTCAGATAAATAAACCTATTCTACAAAAAAAATGGGAATAATTATATTAAGACGCATGTACTAAACACTGGATTTCAAAAGAAACATATAGTCATTTTTTGGGGGGGGAATAGTGGATGAAAACCATGACTCCTGTCCCCTTAGCTCTGGTTTAACATGCAAGGAGCTTCCAGAGAAGATGATATTAACCCTTGATTTACCTTCTGTACTGTTCTAAAGACTCCGTTGCGCTGATGATATGGAATCCCATGCAGCACACTTCACATCCTGCGTATTTTTTTTTTTTTAGACAACCACAAACAATTCATAAAAAGAAAGAAATTTTATATATATATATATATATATATATATATATATATATATATATATATAAAACAAAAAAAAATACAAAAAATAACGAAACATAGTTCTGGACAACAAGTCAAAGAGGAGATAGCACCGTTGTTACAAAAGGGTTGGACAGATGTGACGGAGGTGCGGGGTGGTTAGGATCAGTGACACATCCAGACTGGTGGCTCGAATAAACGGACTGATGACAAATAGACTTCTTTACTTTCTCTTCATTTTCTCATGTGTCCATCATTCAGTGTACACCTGACACAGATGTAGTCCTCCTTCTCTGCCATCTCGGCCGTAACGCCGACGCAGACTTGGTGGAACCACTGGTTACAGCTGCCGTCACACTGGACCCAGTCCACCTGCAGGCCAACACACACAACCGGGTTTAACCAAGATGGAGCGTGATGCAACAGTACACCTGCATCAATTCATTGCTAGGCCACTTAAACACAACATTGACATTTCATCACTTTATAAGTTGATATTGTGAACTTTTTGTGAAACAGTTGCAGCAATTACAGAGCAACATCATTCATTTGGAGCTGCGTATCTGTCCACCTGCATTATGTTCACCAGCTAGTCGTTGACTGTGTCTGTCAGCTGTTTGGTGCTGAGCAGGAAGTGTACAGCGTGTTTAAGGAGATTGTTTGCTGAAAACAGCTGCCTGCTGCAGCTGAAAGCGATGCTACGAGAGCGGTGAGAGTGACCTGAAACACTGAAGTTACGGAGCCAGAGAACCAAAACAATAAACGGCAACGCACTGCAACGCCCCGCGGAG